TTTTCCTTAAATGTTTCATACAATTCACCCAGTAAAGCCACATGGGTCTTGAATGTTCTTTATGGAAACTTTTAAGCTACAAATTTAATTTCTTTAATAGATATATGGCTATTTAAGTTATCTGTTTCTTTTTGAGTAAGCTTTAGTAGTTTATATCTTTCAAAGAATGTGTCCATTTTATGTAAGTTGTTGAATTTATTGGCATAAATTGTTCATAATATTCCCTTTTATTCTTTTTATATCTCCATTATTTGTAGTGATGTCACCTCTCTCATTTCTGGTAATAGTAATTTGACTCTCCTCTCTTGTTTCCTTATTTCAGTTTGGCTAGAGGTTTATCAATTTTATTGATCTTTTCAAAGAACACAGTTTTGGTTTCATTGATTTTTCTCTTTTGTTTTTCAGTTATCTGTTTCATTGATTTCTGCCTTTTTAGAATTCTGTTCTTATGCTTTGGGTTTCATTTACTCTAAAGGTAGAACAGGAGATAACTGGTGTGAGATCTTTCTTGTCAAAATAGATATTTTAGTACTCTAAATTTCCCTCCAAATACTGCTTTAGCTGTATCCCACAGATTTTTATATGACATGTTCATTTTAATTTACTTTAAAATACTTTCTAATATTCCTTTTAGGTTCTTAGTTGAGCATGAGTTATTCAGAAGTAAGTTATTAGTTTCCAAATATTTGGGAGATTTCCCATTTATTTGTCATTGATTTTATTTTTTTGAAATATGAGTGTTTTTATTTTTTAAATTTATTTAATTTAGATTCAAGTTATTTAATATACAGTATAGTTTTTGATTTCAGGAATAGAACCCAGTGATTCATCACTTACATACAACACCCAGTGTTCACCCCAAGTGCCCTCCTTAATCATGCCCATCACTCATTCAGCCTAACCCTCTCTGCACACCTCCCCTCCAGCAACCCTCTGTTTGTTCTCTATCTTTAAGAGTCTCTTATGGTTTGCCTCCCTCTCTGTTATCTTACTTTTCCTTCCCTTCTCCTATGTTCATCTGTTGTGTTTCTCAAATTCCACATTTAACTGAAATCATATGATATTTGTCTTTCTCTGACTGACTTATTTCACTTAGCATAACGCACTCTGGTTCCATTCACAGTGCTGCAACTGGCAAGATTTCATTCTTTTTGCTGAGCAGTATTCTACTGTATACATATATATATATCACATCTTCTTTGTCCATTCATCAGTTGACGTCATTGATTTCTAACTTTATTGTGCTCAGAAAACATACTTTGTATGATTAAAAGAACCCCAAACAACTGAGGTATAATTTACCTACTAGTATGCATGGGGTTAATCCTTTTAAATTTGTTAGAGACTTGTTTTATGGCTTAGCGCATGATTTATCTTGGTACATGTACCTGTGTACTTGAAAAGAGTGTGTATCTGCTGTTGTTGAGTGGTGGAGTATTCTATAAACTCCAGTTGGGTTAAATTGGTTGATTGCACTGTTCATATTCTTATTGATGATCTGTCTCCTTATTCTATCAATTATTGAGACAGATATTAAAATGTCTGACCATAATTATCAATTTGTCTGCTTCTCCTTTTAGTCCTATCAGTTTTGCTCCACATGTTTTGAAACTCCCTGATTAATATATCTTGAAACTCTTTGAATTGTTACATCCATCTGATGAATTGAAATGTCCCTCTTGATCTCTGGTAATATTTTTTGCTCTGAAATCTTCTTTGTCTGATAATGATATAGCTACATACATTTAAAATTTTAATAAAAATTGCCAAGTGTCCTCTCAAAAATTGGTGTTATATATGGTTTCTCCCCATTCTGGTCCACATTTATTGAGACTTTGATATGAAAGTTCTCTAAACATGTAATGTTTCTTCTGGATTTGGGATCAGCTAATACTCTTGCCAGACTCCTGGTTCTCTATCTGCACAATAGTGGCTGTAATAACAGCTCTGCCATCACGTGTGTATGGGAGTACAGGAGAGGGTTTAGGCATGGGGTTAAACGGGGGCAAAAGCTGGAAAAGACAAATGAGAAGTACTTTCATTGTCAGAAAAGGCGGTAGGTAAAGGGGCATCTGGATGCTTTAAGGCAATTTAAGGTATCAGATGAATTAGATCTCATGGCAGTGAACTTGTGATCTCGGAGTCACTATTAATAATTTTTAAGGAATGGAGCCTGTTAGAAGTACCCAAGACTGGAGACAGTCAACAGTTCTTATATTTTTAGTGAGTGGGGAAAAAAAATGTGTGACATTCATTCAGTGAAGAAAGTGATGAGTACAGGGAGCTAGAAAGGGTTCGCTAAAAACTTACTTAATTCATTCTATTTGCTGTTAGATTTGCCCAGTCAATAGATTTGGAAAGGTCCCAGGTGCTCTGATGCGGAGAGGTGGAACCAAAGCCGTTGTTAGAGATAAATAGATCCAGGAGATTCTGGCAGGTGGGTAGTAGGCCATCAAATTTAGACTAGGACCGGGTTTTCCTTTTACGTGTGTTTTAACACATTAGGTCGGGCCACAGCCTCTCCATCTGCCTGGATGAGGCGGCACCAACACCTCCCAACACACCACATTAAGTACTTAGGTCTAAAGAGCCTCTGTTTTGTAGTCTCTGCAGTCACTAGAACTATAAACAGAATACTGGCTAATTATTGTTTAATTATTGCTTAAAAACCAATTGGCACAATACAATCACTGCATTAATTACCCCATACAGCATCTGCTTTCTTTTTTGCCTTCATCCCCATCCCTCCCCAGCCCCTCTCCCCGCTTTAATTGAAATTCAGCTTGCTGTAACACCTCCTTTCTCCCGGCCAACTGGATCTCTCCATTCACAGGAGGGAGAGGAACAAAACAGAGAAGGCCCCCGGGGATTAGGGAGTTTTGACAGCTGTCCAAGAGGAGCTCAGAGATACCGGCCAAATACTGAAGCAGGACAGAGACAAATGAGAGACAGAAGAGAGTGACGGCGGGGGGGTGGGGGTGGTGGTGGGGGAGATGGGCAAGGAGACATCGCAAGAGGAATGAGTGGGACAGAGGCACAGAGACAGGCAGAGAGGTTTAAAGGGGCGCTGAAAAGGGGAAAAAGGAAACGAAAGGGCTAAAAACGAGAGGAACTAAGGCGAGACGGTGAGGAAAACGCCAGAGGCTCAGGAGGGGAGGGAGACGGGAGAGAGCTTTGTCAGGAAGGAGGGGGAAAAGTCCGGTCTCTAGAGACGGGTCAGTGCAGCTTGGGGACCCGTCTGAAGAGGAGGCGGGCAGGCAGCGTGGGGTTCCCCTCACACACGTGGGCGCCGGGTGGGGCGGAGGACCGCCGCCGGGCCGGGAGCAGCACAGCGCGGGCGCGGCGAGCCGAGCGCGCGGGGCCGCGGCTGCAGGGCCCCTGGGCGAGCCCGGCGGCCCCGCACTCGCCCTGCGGCCCCGCCCCCTCCTCGGCCGCCTCCTTCGCCGGGGCTTTTCCTGTGGGGCTCAGGAAGCCGGCCTAGTGCCGCCCCGAACAATAGCTCGCTGCTGGGGCTCGGCTCCGGGAGAGGCAGGCGCGCGGCCGCGGGGGAGGGAGGCGTCCGCGCCGCCGGGGGCTCGCGGTGAGCGGCCGGCCCCGGCCGGAGCTTCAGTTCAGCTCCGCGCTGTCCGGGTCATTGTTGGCCGAGACTGAGGGAGCGGGAGCCGGGGGAGGAGCTGGAGAGGCGGCGGCGGCGGGAGCCAGAGGGGGAGCCAGAGAGCGAGCGAGGGAGGGAGGCAGCGAGCGAGCGAGCGCGGGAGGGAGGAGGTAGGGAGACAGGGAGGGTGGGAGGGAGGAGGAAAAATAAAGAGGAGAGCCGAGCAGGGCTGAACAATAGAGACAGGCGGACGGGCGAGGAGAAGAGCCAGCTGCCGCTGCTGGGGAAGAGCGGGCGCCCAGGCAGCCCGGACCCCGGCCCCGGCCCGGCCCCGGCCAGACAGCAGGGCGGCCAGCGCCCGCGGGGAAGGGGTACCATGGGGGAGCCGGCGGCAGGCGCCCCCAGCCCGCCGCGCGCCTCCGCCTGAGGGAGGCTGGGCGTCCTCTGCCCCAGCCCCTCCGTCCCAGCCGCCCGAGCCGCCCGCCCTCGAAGCCGCGACTCCTGGTCTGCGGCCGCGGCCGCTGCGCCCCGCGCCCTCCGCCCAGCGGGCGCCCCGCAGCCCTCGGCCCCGGGCTCGGCCGACCCCGGCTGCCCACGGACGCCTCCCCCAGTCATGAACCCCCCGGAGGGGGCAGCGGAGGAAGGAGGAGCAGCCGACTCGGACGTAGACGCCTTTTTCCGGACAGGTAAGCTGGGCAGGGCGCGGGGGGGCCCGGGGGAGGGCTGCTGCTCGGGACGCGGCGTCTCGGACAAGTTTGGGGAAGGAGGGCTGTTGCTGGGGTGTGCGTGTCGGGGGGCAGTCCTCGGTGTCGTCGGACTGGAGTTGCCGAGATTGTTGTTGTTATGGCAATGCTGCTTGCGTTTTGGGGAGGGGTGGGGGCTGGGAGCCCGGCACCCCTCGGCGTTCACCCCACTTGCCGGAGTCGGTGCTGGGGAGGCGGGAGGCGGTCCCCTCGGCCGCCTTCTCCTGGAGCGCGGGGATGGGGCGATGTTGGATCACTTTGCAGCGCGCGGCTCAGCTACCGGCGGCCCCGGCCCCTCCCTCGTCTCCCCCCTCCCCCAGCGCCTGTCAGCCAGCCTCCGGCCGCCCGGGGCTGGCACCCCTTCTGGGGCCCGGGGCCCAGACGCGCGCAGAGGGGCAGCAGGGACCCGGAGTCGCGCACGCTGCAGACTGACAGGAGCCGGGCGGACCAAGGACGGTCAAGCCTGGTGCGTGCGGGCAGTCGGCGTCTCGGACTTGAGAGGCAGACGGGGCTGGGAGGGCGGTGGGCGCCTTGGACCTCCTCCGTGTCCTCCTCCAGTTCTGGGAACGGGCGAGCTTTTCTTAGGAATCACTCATTCCTGGAAGTGTGAGTTAGCGTCCTCCGCAACACACCCACTGGATCTTTTGCTTGCCTGTGGTATGAGAGTCCCCAGATCTGTCTTTCCAGCTGTTTGTTGCCCCTGCCGCCTCCCATCCCCCAGGTCTCTAGCTCTTGTTCCCGGGCTTCGCAGCCCGTTCGCCAGAACGGACACAGACCACCCTCATCTCCTACCACCTGTGGCCAGGGATTCCCCATCTCCCATTTACCTGTGGCTTCCACCAGTTCCTCATCTCCGGTGTCTGGAACCATTTTGTCTGCAATCTTTGTCCCAAGGAGTCCAATAAGTTATGGGGACCCTGCACATCTGCCGTGTCCTCCCGTAAGTTGGATTAGAGGACATGAACCAGTGGGGTCAAGGATCAGGTTAGCTCCGAAGGCTCTCTGCACACCCATCTGTTTCCTAATCTCATTGCCTTGCCCTAGAGGTCGTCTCTAGGGAAGAGCGTGGGGTGCTTTGTTGGGGAGACTTGTGGCTTTAGAAGTCAAGACTTGATTGGCCCATATGTTCATTTTCTGGCTGGTCTGAAGAGAAAAGAGCTGGAGGGCAGGAGCTGATGCCAGGGCCTGGAGAAAGTAGAGGAAGCCCCTGTTATCCTCTCCTGCTTCTCAGGACCAGCCTTCCCTCCCTCCTTCCTTCCTTTTCCCTAGACCAGCGTTCTGTATACACACTCGTATTTCCACCACCACTCACCTCTGTCAGTCTCTGTGTCTCACACTCACACACGCTGCCCAGGACCCAAAGCATGGATTCTAAAGAGGTGCCTGACCTAAGTTTATAACCTGACATCTAGGTTATAAGGTTCTGGGGCCTAGGTGATAACCAGAAATACTCATCAGGAGGTCTCCCCTCACACCCCCCACTGCCCCACCCCTCTTTCCTCTCATCTTTGGCCAAAGTCTGCCTTTTCTTAGCTCTAGGGAAAACAACCTCTTGGAGTGTGACCTTTCCCACCTTCCTTTTCTGGACCCACTTTCATCTTTTGACAACCACTCCTCCTTCCCCTTTCTTACTATCTAAATACTAGTTCCTGTCCATTCCGTGTCCCAGGCCCTTGGAGCTGAGTTCAGTTTCTGGAGGCTTGATAATTTCTGACAAATTCACACAGTGTTAATGGTGTTAATGGCCTGTAATGTTCCAATGTGTTACTTTTCCCAGGACCTTTCCAAATCCAATGTGTGGCTTATGTGTGGCTCAAATCATAGAATAGATAGCAGACTGGGGTCTGTCTCCTGTGGGACTTCTGTTGAGGATATTCCCCTTCCTCCTTGGGTAGCTTTTTTTTGGGGGGGGTAGGTCTGATGTGCAGTTAGAATCAGAGAAAGGTTTAATCTTCAGTGAATAAGGCTGGAAATGACTGATGGTCTGTAACAAGTTGCAAGTGGGGATGCACACTTTGGGGGGCGGGGTCTAGGACTGCCTCCCTTCGAGTCCCCCAACATGGTCCTCTGTGCTCTGCTTCCTGATCTCACCCCCACTAGTCTCAAGCCTAGGCTCTTGCTGGAGATTCTTAAGCCTGGGATAAGGCCACATTTTGTAACCTTCTCCCTTCTGATTCTCCATCCTTATGGAACATAGCACTGTACCTGGTAGCTAGACAGATTATAAATTTATTCAGTTGAACAACTGAGAAAGCTTCAAACACATTTTCAAAGTTCCATAGCACCAAAGTTACCCCCTACATTCTGGTGGAAAAATTTGCATGCACAAGGACCAGCCTGGCAATTGTTTTGTCAAACCCTTGGCATAGTGTGCTTCTAAGTAGGAATACTTCAAGTAATTCTGTCATTTTTGTCCCTTACTGGTCCTCTCCTGATTATTTTGGCATTTCAAGTCTCTTGACCAATTGATTAAGCTAAATTCCTTAAATCTCAAGTCCCTGCACACACACACACACGTACACACATACACACACCAACCCACTATTCTTATTGGTGGATTCCATATTGTCTTCTTAGGAATTCTCTGTTCCAAGCCTGGAGTGTGTCACAATAGTTTTATTTATCATTTTTCATTAGGTTGAGCAGGAGAAATATGGGAACTCAAAACGGAATAGAAACCAATTGGAATAGAAAACCAATAAGGACTTTTCAACTCCTACTAGGAGCCTTCTGCTGTCCAGGGTGCTGTGGAATACAAAAGAAATATTCCAAGTGGTCTTTGACCTCAAGGAACTTTTAAAAGGAATTTGACAATTATTGCTCAATTGGAGATTAATTATTTGGTAAATGTGGTTCTATAAAATAAGTTGATAGAACTATAGATGTAGTAGAATCAAAAGTAGTCCTTGAAGGGGGGTGCAGAGTGGGAGGAATGCCATGGGCAAAAGGCACATAGGAGTTTAGGGCATGGACCTTGCGGTTTCTGGGCTGACCAAATAGAACGAGTAGGTTAGGGAGCAATAGGAAATAGGGATAGGTAAGTGGGGCAGGACCAGATAGGGAGAGTCTTGGAAGTCCAAGGAAGGATTTGGACTGGATTAAGAGTTAGTAGGGAGTCATTTTAGGTTCTTGAGCAAGGGTACATCCTGAAGAAAGTGATATTTGGAAAGGTTAATCTGGGGGTAATATGACTGATGAAGTGGGGAGAAGGGAGAGAAAGAATCCAGGGAGATGGGAAAGTGATTCAGAGCTGAGGGGGAGGGGGCTTGCCCTAGGTTGGTAGCAAAAGGAATGGGGAGTCAGGGACAGCTCTGAGAGACATTTTCAAAGGCAGAAATGTGAGGATTTGTTGACAAATTGGCTATAGGGGGAAAAGAAAAGTAAGCCCATGAGGAAACAGAAGTAGCTGGGTTGAGAGTGTAGAGGACTAACAGTGTCCCACTGACATGGTCTGATTGAGGACAGGAACTGATTTCAGGGCAGATAATGATGTTGGCTTTAGAACTGGTGAACTGGAGATGACTGATGGACATCCAGGTGGAGGTTTTTTGTGTGTGTGTGTGTGTGTGTGTGTATGTGTGTGTGTGTGTGAGAGAGAGAGAGAGAGAGAGAGAGAGAGAGAGAAATGGGACTCAATACAGGAGTATGGGCAGGAGATTAGGGGTGGCGATGTGGACTTGGAAAGCTTCTGGGTCAAGGTTGGATGCAGCTGAAGCTTTGTGAATAAATACATCAGCTGTCAGAAGGAGAGACTGGAGGAAAGAGGGGAAGAACTAAAGTTAGAATTTGGGGATAAACCCTTATTTATAACAAGGCAGCAAAGGAGACTTGATCTTGGAATCCCTAGGGAGTCAGCGTGGGTTCTGATGTGAAGACAGGCTGCAGACAGGTTGAGCAAGAGGAGTGCTGGGTAAGTGTCACTGGCTGTAATGAAAACAAGGCCACTGTGAGCTCTCAGGAGCACAGTATTAGAAGAGGGAGTCAGAGTAGGGATTTGGGATGGTGGGTAGGAACCCATTACTTGCACAGTTTATCAGTGAAAGGAAAAAGAGATTGGGTGCCAGTCAGAAGGAATGTTAGTATCAAAAAAAGGAGTTCCTTCCTTCCTTCCTTCCTTCCTTCCTTCCTTCCTTCCTTCCTCCCTCCCTCCCTCCCTCCCTTCCTTCCTTCCTTCCCTTTCTTTCTTGCCAGGGAGTCAGAAGAGGTTTGCAGGTGGAAGGGAGAAAGCTTGTGGACAGGGAACACTGAAGATGCTAGATTAATTGTTGAGTTAGATACCTGGAGAGCTTAGACAAAAGTAGATTCCTTAACAAAAATAAGAACTTAGCTTTGGTGAGCAGAGGATTTTTTTTTTTTTTTTTTTTTTTTTTTTTTTTTTTTTGAGACTAAAAGGAAAAAAAAGTTAAAAGTTGTAAGTGAAAAGAGATTGATATGGAAATATCTTCTACCTAATCTTTTTGTTAAGCTTTGGTCCCGCGAGTCCGGACATTTTCACCTGAAGTGTTTGCTGCTACTTGGACTTATGCCAGCCTCAAACTCAACTCTGTATGTCTTTCCAATTCCCCACACTCGCTTTTTCTCTTGTCTTCCTTAGTTCTGTTAAGTGGCATCTCCCCTCTCCCAGTCATGATAATTAAAACCTTGGTTTCATCTGTGAGGAGTCTCTTTCCTCTAACAAATCCTGTTGAATTATGTTTCATCATCAGCCCCTGCTGTTCATCTGCAGCCTCTGCTCTAGTCCAGGACATATTATGCTGCCCACAACCTCCTTTCTTGTCCCTTGGAATCTGCTCTCTCATCCCCGCTCCAAATTGGCACCTGTAGGTACGATGGCACTAATTTCATCACATTGTTGCCTGGTTTATGAACCTACAGTGACTCCCTAGTGTCTCAGGGTCAAGTCCATACTTCATAGCTCAGTTCCAGCCAGGCTGCTTTTCTCA